ACCCTAACTTAAATTAAGTTCCTTAACAGCAACCCAGGCTTGCCCGTGGTGGAGCAGGAGCTCGGCTCCCTCCGTTTCCTGGCCTGGCTGGTGACGAACACCGCAGGCAGCAACGGGCTCTTCCTTCTCTTGATGAGCCTGCTGCAAAAGCAGGGAAGATTCTGGGTTGCTGAAATTTCAATTAAGTTACCATATTATCCCCCTATAATGGAGAATCAAATCGAAAAGACAATGAAAAATGAAATGGAAACTGGGGGAATATAGGGATTAAGGAACTTACATTAAGTTACCATAATGGGTATATATATAGTAAATAATAGGGTTTCCCCAATATAGTAACTTAACTTAAGTTCCCTAACAGCAACCCAGGATTCTCTGCTGGACTTCGCATCAACCAAGGGTTGTGGAGCATTGCGCTCTGTGGCTTGACACAGCGAGCCCTGGACATCCCAAACTTCCGGACCAGTTTGCTTGGCCTCATGGAGGTTCCTTCCAAGTGGTATCCCTTCTCTATTGCCGTAGCGCTCTCAGTCTTCAGTGGCTCCATACAGTGGGAGACGTTCTCTGCAGTTTCCTTTGCCTACCTTTGGTGGGCTCTACGTCTTGATGGTGTCCTTTTGCCTTCAAGAGACACTGCTAGGAAACTGGAGGCCAGAGTGCCAGTGGCTGGACTGATTAGTCTTCTGGGTGGCTCCTGGATACCTGCTGTTCCACCAGGGCAGAATGCGCCCCATCGGCCTAGACCAGCTGGTTCCAAGCTGAGTTGTCTTGTAGGGTCTGTTGGCGATGCGTATCCGTACCGTAAGGATTCAAGGTTTCATGCGAACGGCCCTTGAAGCTTAACAGAAGCTGTGATGCGGGCATCTTCGTTACATCTACTTGGCTATACGTGACTTCACGGACACGGCTTTCTGTTTGTGTCTTGCAAAGATGCTGCAGTCGCACCCTCAGGTCCAGCGAGACCTGCTGCAGGACCGGGCAGGGAAGCACTTGATGCATGACAGGACCCTTGTAAAGCAATGTTGGCAAGCAGCCGGTGACAGAGCCTGATCATCACTCTTTGAATTATGAAGTGTTCCTAAAGCTAGACTATTTTGCAAGTAGTTCCTTTACTATGGTCTTGAGCAAGTCCTCAAAGTCATGTCTTGTGCACAACAGTCCGATGCCGTACACTCTCGATAGCTCTGCTATCAGTCCTTCACCAGGGGCTGATGAATTTCGACTCTTTGGTGGTCGAGGGCACCGGCTGCAAGATTGAGGATGGTTCTACTACAGCAAGTCTACAGCAGTCAGCACGATTGTCATGAAGGAGTGCAGTATCCCCTGTTCTGGTGGAGCTTCATGACACATCGCGCCTCAGGGGTACACCGACCCGGTCTTGGCTGCATTGCGTGGTGCACAGTCCAACGGCCACAGACGATTCGATGCAGGGTCTGCAGCAGCATGTTGAGCAAATAGATCCGACGAAAGGCTGCGAAATGCGGAAAAAAGACAGGCATGAGCGTCGGTCAGTCTATTGGCAGCCAGTGTATTGCAGCTGGCGTTGCTGGCCTCTGCGCATGCCCAGGACGTGGTCATGTACGCAGTCGCTGCTGCAGCATCAGTACCAGCCACAGTGCTGCTTGCACCGCAGCAGTCTTGAGTTTGACTTGCACGCAGTAGATGCATCGTGGATGTTAGAAGTGCGGCACAGGGGAATCGCTACTGTTGTTGTCTTGTTGTTAATATTAGTACAATTACTAACACTATTACTGTAATTACTAACAATGGTTATTGCTAATACCTACTCGTAATCTGATTGCTACTACTTTGATCATTGGTCTCCTTGCTAGCCGCTACTACCATTTCAGTTAGTGTCGTTATTACGACTATTGTTGCTACGGTTAGTATTTGCTTATTTCCGTGATTGCGAGTTTTTGTGTCAATGGATGCCAAGCCCGAAACCCTAGACCTTAAATCTCGTTTGCAATTTTTTTGAAGGTCAACGCGAGCCGTCCAACGTTGTGGAAGTGCATGTGGCAGAGTTGGTCACTGGTCGCAAAGATTTCTTACCTTACAGGGGTTGAGTTCAGGGTTTAGGGTGGAGTTACATCGGGGACGAGGTTTTCATAGGGGTTATATATGGGTTATTTTGGGGTAGCTGTCAATAGGGTTTAGGGATTTGGTTTTTGGGGTTCAGGGTTCAGGGTTTTGGTTACCTTGTAGGGGCATATAGGCATCATAGCGCTGTATAGATCCCGTTTGTCGGGATTATTTGGGGGTTACATAGGGGCTTTAACATAGATCACAACATGTCACAATTCTCGCTTTGTGTACACCCAAAAATTCCTGAGAACATTGGCCGTGTAGAGGGTTCTCATCCTCACATGATGTCGAGAGGCCCCGCATGCTGCGCGAACCGATGCCGCAGGAAACCCATGGAGGTCAATTAACGATAACAGCTTCATTCCTTGAAATAGGAAACCCAACCACACATGCATATCATTCAGGCTTCTGATTCAGACAGTTCATGGAAAAGGCCCTTGAGTACCCCCAACCGCAAACCCAAAGGACTCAACCTCCAGGCCTAGACCCAAATGCTTAAACCTTATATACCACTATGGACCCTATAACACCCCCATATAGCTCTTATAACCCCTATTGCCCCTCTATAGCCCCACAAACCCTAAACCCTAAATCCTAAAGCATGAACCCTAAACCCTAAATCCTAAACCCTAAACCCTCGATCCTAAACCCTAAACCCTAAATCCTACACCTTAAACCCTAAACCCTAAATTCTAAAGCCTGAACCCAAAATCCCAAACCCTAAAGCCGAAACCCTCAATCCTAAACCCTAAACCTTAATGTCTAAACTGCTGCAGTCAGGTCCGGGCATCCCCAGGCCATTTCTGCGCGCCATTTTGACTTCTTCGGAAAGCGTTTCTGCAAAGTTGGAGTGTAAATGGATTATGTCGGGATACCTAAGGGTTATAGAGAAGTTATGCAGGAAATATGTAGGGAAAAGGTAAGAGTTATAGAAGGGTTATATATGGATTGAATAGAGATATGTACGGGTTATGGAGCAGTTATATACGGGATCATGCAAGCGTTGCAGTTGAGTCATATGTTATTTAAGGATATATTACCCCAGAAATGGAGAATCAAATGTAAAAGAAGTTGGTAACTGGGTCTATGCAGCGGTTTGTTTGCTATTTATCAAGTTTCTGTACACTGCATTGTTGTCTGGGTTTGAGCCACGATCTCAAGACTTGTGTATATACTGGGACATTTATTGTGAAACATGTGCATTTTGCAAATTAGAGATCCGCGTTACCCTGCCCACCTAAAATTTCAAAGACCCTGAATTACGGTTTGCCAAAAATGACTCGTAACTGGTACCAGTCTCTAAACCCAAAGCCTTAAATCTCAGAAATCCCAAGCAATCCGTGCAACCTCCTTATGTACGATTATTGTTATGATTATTGCTAGTACTGCTACTATTGCTGTTACTGTGGGACCACTGCTTAAAGAAAACCAGCGCATGGTCTGATCGGGTTTAGGGAGCAGGAGTGCGTGTGAGAATGTTTTCCAGCAATTAGGGTCCGCTTTTCGGGATTCCCGCTTCTGAGGCTTGTTTTATGAATGCAGAACCAAATGGAAAAGAGCATAGAACATGGAATGAAAGCTGGAGTTGCAAGGGGTTTCTGCAAGCACAAAGCCTGTTTTTAGAAGGTGGGGCGCTGCCAGAAGCCCTAAACCACCATAAATCCTAAACCCGTGGAGGGCCCTAAACCTTAATCCCTAAACCCTAAAGCCTAAACCCTAAACCCAAAGTCCCTGAAGCCTAAACCCTAAACCCTAAACCCTAAACCCCTAAACCCCTAAACCCTGAACCTGCACTTCATCTGCTGCACCCGCAGGTGCAGATGGCTTTCTGCTTCCTAGCTGCAAGGCCCAAGCTTTGCAAAGGCTTAGGGTTCTCCTCGAACTCCTTTAAGGGGGGTTAGGGTTTAAGGGTTTAGGGTTTAGGGTTTAGGGTTATATGGGGGATTATGTATACATATGTATGGTTTAGGATTGAAGGTTTGGGGTCTAAACTCCTTAAAGGGGGCTATATAGGGAACAATGCAGGGGACTACTATGAGATGCTATGAGGGTTTTTCTGGGGGGAAACTTGGAGTTTAGACTCTAGGTTACATACAGGTATTTAGGGCTGTAGAGGGTTACTTGGGGTTATAGGATGGTGGAGGGGAATATAAGGGTATTTAGGGTTATAGAGGAAGGGAGAGATAACAACAAATCATGGAGAATGAAATGAAAAAGCAAATGGACGACGAAATGGATAGTTTTTAGGGTTTTCGGTTTAGGGTTGAGGGGTGGCGTAGGGATATTTAGGGGTTATATAGGGGTTATATAGTGGGTCATGTGCGGGTTATATACGGGTTCTGTAGTCTTACAGGGTAATACAGGGATTACATATGGGCTATGCAGGGTTATGATGGGGTACAAAGGGGGTACATGGGGCCACTCTCATAATGGAGAATCAAATGGAAAAGAACATGGTTGAAATCGAAGCTGAGATTATGTAGCGACATATAGGGCCACGTGGCGCTTGGAGTGTTTTGTCCACACCCATCATGGTTTGTATTTCTAAGACGAGCGGGTCAGATCTTGACGTTTTGGGTTTGAGAAGTCCAGTCTCCATGTCATATTCCATTCTCTTTTGGATTCTTGGGGCAATGTCCCGCTACAAACCCTGTATATCCCTCTCTACTCCCATGCAATCCCTAAATGACCCCTATATAACCCAATATGAGCTATAGTCTAAACTTCTAGTATCCACATTAATAAGCCCTATATTTAATACTCCCCTGTAGAATCTCCTACAAAACCCCTTTTTAAGGAGTTTAGATTATAGCTCATAGACACAACCTTAAGCCCACAGGCCTGGATACTGCCGATGTGCGGCCGCACAAGCATGGGGAGGCCAGTTTCATGATGATCTGATGTGATGTAGGGGCCTCAAGAAATTAGAGGGCTTTACGGATTTGATGTGGAGGTCTCAATAAGTAGAACTTCATACTTCGAATCGCAGAGAATCAATGGAAGGAACATGAAAGAGGAAATGGACACCGGGTTCATGTAGGAGCTTGCGTTGACACAGGCTTACTGTCACATGTTGCATTGCATCATGCAGATGTATAGCGATCTCTAGCTTCAGAGTGGAATTGACCTCACCCATTTGAGCCATCGTCCAAACTCCTAGTCCCCCGCCCCCCTTAACACCTACAAGCCCTAAATAAGGGGACCCCAATATAGACCCCAATATACTATAATCCTTATTATTGGGGCCCGCAAAAAGGTACCCATCATTTTGCCCCAATATTATCCCTTATATGACCCCCTTTAAGGAGTTTATGGCTGTGTGATGCCTTGAAGGAGTTGAGACCCTATAAACCCTAAACCCTAAATAGTAGTTTCCATTTTCTTTTCCATTATCCCTATATAACCCACTATAATCCCCATAATCCCTTATATAGCCCCCCTTTAAGGATTGCTGTGTGATGCATCTGGCGCAAGGCCGTGGGCCAGAGACAGAACAGGAGCTGCTGAAGTTGGCAGATCCTTCGATGCACGGCCTACTCCGCCGTTACATTCAGAACTGGAACTTGAGCAAAAAAAAGGTGCAGGTTGTTTTTGCATAAGGCTTATATAGGGGATATATGATAGGATAGGGGTTTTGTGGGGATAGTGGAAAAGAACATGGACACTTACCATTTAGGGTTTAGGGTATAGGCTGGTGGTTTAGTGGTTAGCTTCAGAGCTGAGAAACGAAGCCCAAGGTCAGAGCTGCTAAAAAGCTTTGCAGATGTCTTGCCTGATTGAGGAGGCTTGGCAACAACAACGGTACCGTAAACACTGGGAATCGTCAGTGCCAATGTTTAGAATTTGCGGCAGGCAATTTCAGTAAAACAGCATGCTCCTTGACAACAGATGGCTGATGCCCGATGCGCTCGATAGCCCAAGAACCCGTGACCAGAAGATTGTAGAAATACATTTCAGCTGCTTCCGAATATAAATGTTTGGCTTATTTGATGTGAACTGAAGAATTTTGAGCTCCAGGTGCCCTTACGAGGGATGTAGACTTCGTACTCGTTGTGGCAAACCCCAAGGGCGGCATGTAGATTTTCCCCGTTGATTGCAAACCATTCGCCAGGGCCCGCAATGGTTGTAAGAAGCAGGAACCTTGCAATTTGGAAGGTCGCACAATGCCTAAGACGCGTTCAGGGATGTTGATCCATTTTCCGTGTGCTCGGAGAAAAGGAGTAGAATCGGAACCACCGACCATTCGACCAGCCATGTTCAATGCTTTTGTTGCTGTTTCTCCCGTTCCCGATGCCTTCCTCTTCTGGTGAACGGAATGCCTTCGGAACCCTAAATCCCTAAATACTCCCTAAATGGTACTTTCCATTTTCTTGTCCATATCCCCAGTATATCCCCCTATATTGCAGATGAATGAGGGAGCCATCCTTGAGGGCTTGCCAAACCCCCCGACATTAGATATTCCCAACATATTATGCTATACCACATAATGGGAGTATTTACTATCAGGGGGGGGTGGGAGGGTTTGATATTAGGGGGAGGGGATTACTACAGAAGATCGAAAGGCCACGGAGCTTTGCCCAAGCGGCGTCGTCTGGATGATTGTCTGAGGGATGTACCCAAGGCATATTAGGGGGAGGGGAACCCTAAACCCAAACCTGTTGGCAACAAGCGGAGCAGATGCCAGAGCTGAAATCGGTTTGTTGCGCCTGATTCAAGTTTTGTATCTGCTCCTTGCGAGTAAAATAGGGTTATTAAGGGGGCATCATAGCTCATGTAAGCATATTTCTACCTTCAAGTTTGACAAACGTAACGAATCAGGCTGGCTGCACAATCGCCATTCGGCTGCCATGCAATGCGCGTCATCGCCCACGTCTGGATGTACACCACTGTGCCTACAACCTGTGCCAACTTGATTGATTCACATGGCACCAACGATACAGTACGCTTTTGCAGTCTCGTGCCGCCGCTGTCCTTCATCCAACTCGCAGTGCCTCCTCGTTCCTCTTTAGCCTGTGCCTGCTGACCCAAAAAAGCTCCACAAGGCTTGTTTGTCAGATGAGTTTATTCTTGTAAATAGTCTCAGTATGATTGTGGCTATGACAACTGTTTGCCCAGCCAGCCATCTAACTCAAATTGCGCACTTTGCCACAGAAATGCACGCGCTGGTTGAAGCAGTTGTTACGTGATTGTCGACTTTCTAACAAGGTACAAGCTGAAGTCTTGTTACAGAGGGCTTTCAGCATTGGGTCCAACAATGGAGCTGAAAGGAAAGCACGCGAATCTGTTGGTTTCAGGTACTGCAGCTTCACAGACATGGCATGACGCTAATGCTTCTTAATGTGCTAGACAAGTTAGGCTGTGAAAGCATGGGGTTGCGATAGGCCCGACAGGCTCTGACACATGCTACGCAGTAGTTTCCATTACATTTTCGATTTCAGCAGAATAAAGCCACATCCCTATAAGATTAAGCCTGCATAATCTCTATACATCCCTGCATAATCCTCAAATATCCCTCATATCCCTAAACCCTAACCTAAACCCCAAACCTTACGGCCTTGGGAGTCGTACCCATGGGCGACTCTGCACCACACGGCGTGCCAGCCCTCTCATGGCAGCAGGGCACTTTGACAGCCTTTGTTGCAGTGGATACTGCCAGGCTTTAGGCTTTAGGGCTTAGG